ATTGGGTGTCAGTATGTTACATTGGGTGTCAGTATGGTATATTGGGTGTCAGTATGTTACATTGGGTGTCAGTATGGTATATTGGGTGTCAGTATGGTACATTGGGTGTCAGTATGTTACATTGGGTGTCAGTATGGTACATTGGTTGTCAGTATGTTACAATGGGTGTCGGTATGTTACAATGGGTGTCGGTATGTTACATTTGGTGCCAGTATTTTACAATGGGTGTCGGTATGTTACAATGGGTGGCAGTATGTTACAATGGGTGTCGGTATGTTACAATCAATGGGTGTCGGTATGTTACATTGGGTGTTGGTATGTTACAGGTTGTTGCGAACAAAAGGAATGGTATTGATGCGGACAAGTGGGATTACTTTGCCAGGGACTGCCACAACCTTGGCATCCGAAACAATTTTGATCACCTGAGATTTATCAAGTTTGCTAGAGTCTTGGAGGTTGATAGTGAACTTCAAATCTGTTCAAGGGACAAGGTAGGTGACTTGTGCTATTCTCTTTGATTAAAAAACAAGATAATATTTTATCACACATATTGTACCAGTTGTAGTAGAAACATTGATGTGGAGTATCTATTAATTCACATGTATACAGGGGAACATGCAAATCATTGGCCATTTTATTTTACTTCTACTTATTCAAACATTTTTGTTTAGAAATTCAACATGTCACTAAGTAACACTATTGGAGAGTGATTTCAAAGTCAGGCTGTTTAAACTAGTCAGAGAGTGAATATTCAAACTAGTCAGAGGGTGAAAATCTAAACTAGTCAGAGAGTGAATATTTAAACTAGTCAAAGAGTGAATATTTAAACTAGTAAGAGAGTGAATATTTAAACTAGTCAGAGAGTGAATATTTAAACTAGTCAGAGGGTGAAAATTTAAACTAGTCAGAGAGTGAATATTTAAACTAGTCAGAGAGTGAAAATCTAAAGTAGTCAGAGGGTGAATATTTAAACTAGTCAGAGAGTGAATATTTAAACCAGTCAGAGAGTGAATATTTAAAGTAGTCAGAGAGTGAAAATTTAAACTAGCCAGAGGGTGAATATTTAAAAATAGTCAGAGTGAATATTTGAAATAGTCAGAGAGTGAATATTTAAACTAGTAAGAGGGTGAAAATTTAAAAAAGTCAGAGAGTGAATATTTAAACTAGTCAGAGAGTTAATATTTGAAATAGTCAGAGGGTGAATATTTAAAATAATCAGAGAGTGAATATTTAAAAATAGTCAGAGTGAATATTTGAAATAGTCAGAGAGTGAATATTTAAACTAGTCAGAAGGTGAAAACTTAAAATGGTCAGAGAGTGAAAATTTCAACTAGTCAGAGAGGGAATATCTAAAATGGTCAGAGAGAGAATATTTAAACTAGTCAGAGAGTGAAAATTTAAAATAGTCAGAGAGTAAATATTTCAACTTGTCAGAGAGTGAATTTTTAAACTA